TATTCACTGTGCCACCTAATTCATTACCGATTCGCGAAGGTATTGTACACAGACGTCCAAAACTTATTGTTAATCATGTTGTTTTAGCAAAACATTTTTCTAACTATTTTTCTAACTCTTGGACCGAAGGGCTCTGATGCAAAATGTATCAAATATTGTATCTTAATATAGTCAACATTAAAAAATGTAAATAAAATCTAAATAATTACATACAATTATAAAAATTTCGACAATATTCAACATTAAAAGTTCTGATCTAGGTAGTTAACTAGCTAGATTAGAAAAAAATTTCTATTCAAAATTTCATATATGTATGTATAAAGATTGCAGATTAGTGACTGGCCGAGCAAGTCAATAGTAATATAAAATATTTTTAAAGCCATGGTTCGGTTTCTTTATATGGATAAGGAACAGCAGCAAAAATTTTGTTATGCTTTTTCAAGAATTTGTGCTAGAACTCATTGTTTTATAATAACAAGGAATCATATGGGTGTAGAAAATATTAAAATAGTAAAAAGCATTTTTCAATACATAATCCGGATAAATATAAACTCATGTATTTTATACACATCCTTACATTACGTATATATGTATGTTGGTATTTCATATATAGGACACCGTTAATATAAAGTTCTTTTTGTATCACATATTATCTATTTGTAACACATACTTTTCTAACATAAATTTATTTATGTATCTATTTGTGTATTACGAATTTTATAACATATACATGTACATTGATTGGTATGTTTAAAGAATATTACTAATTTATTATTCTGTTTGTAATATAGAAAATAATAACCTTAAGCTCAAGAAGTTTATATGACAGGAATCCTTGTTCAAGATGAAATCGCAACTCGATTTCATAACAGTTTAGCTTTCAATAATAAATTGAATTTTAGCAAAAATACAGTAAGTAACAAAAATTTCATACTTAAGACAGCACAATAACTTGTTTTAAATTTCAAATCGATTACGACCTTTTACACCTTTTAAAATGGAAAGCTGATATTTGTCATGGAAAAGAACCTTGCTAAGAAACCTATGCTCTAAATTCTAAAATTACTGTACTTTTTCAAAATTTATTCATTCGTTAACATAAACATTTTTTTATATCACGCAAAATCAGAAAAATACAAGCTTGTTTTTTTACTACCCACTTATCAATGTTCCAATGATAAATTAGCCATTAAAATAAATCGTTAATTCACCTAGGTTAAAAAACCTAGTTTTCGTCCTGGAAATAAGCTGGCAAATACTACAAGCAATAAACAATAAATTGTAGAAGTACCGAAATCTTTTTTTACAATAAAGTAATTTCACTTGGAAATGTGCTACATTACAAGCCATTAGTCTGATCTGGATTTATTTTGACTTTTTACTTATCTCGTATAGCGTGCTTTAATCCAATAAAATTAACTGTGTATATTGAGTACAATAAAAACACAGGTAAAGATAGTAGCAAATTTTTATCCTTCTTTCTTATTGTTTTGTGTTGGTAAATTGCAATTATCATCCTAAGTTCATTTTTTCATTACTTTTCTTTTTGTGAAAGGATACCTTTGCAATAAAAATTGTAAAAGTATGCAATAGTATGAGAATAAAATATTTGTTTTTTAAGTATGGCATGCACTGAAATATTTATTTTGCATTTTATAAGAAACTTAAACAAATAAGAAAAAAAAAAATAAAGCAAATTCATGGTGACTAAAACAGAAAAAATCTGTTGAATATTTTTTCTTGCTATTTTAAGAAAATTAAATTTATTATGCCATTGCACTTTTGCAATAAATACAGTGAAACTTTTAACATTGGAATTTATTAAAATATTTAACAAATAAAATGTAAAGTAAAATTGAACTTACTAGATATTAATGGCAAATGTGTTTAAATAAATTTTAAATATTAGTGGCATTTGTCATAAATTAGTCATAATGCAAAAGACTTTTGAAATCGAACGAACAAATTATGTAAATTAGATAAGAGTTAAATTGTAAAAAAACTCAATTTAGCAAAAATTTATAAGCGGACAGGCAAACAACAGATCGGGAAACGAAGAGTTGAAAAATCTTAAGACAAATCAAAACCAAACTAAAACAAAAAAATACAGTTACTATGTCAACGCAGAACCTAAATATTTACGAAATGCGGTTGTCAAAAAAAACTTCTATATATTGATAATATATTGACAAGCACGGAAATTCGATATTTTCTGAACATGTCCGTCTGAACTTATATAAATAAACGGTTTGGTATTTCTTCAACTACAGTGACTAATGATCAGTAATCCTAATCAAATTTCTACGAACTACAAGTAAATTTTTTCTCATATCACATTGCAGAAGACAAATCAACTAATTGTTATGAAAATAGAAATTCTCTAATATTCTTAAATTGAAAGTTTTACTGTAAATGCCTGTTACCTATAGCACTAGACATATTCATTTTTTATTTCTATTTAAATTTTTTCTAATACTTTTTAAGGCAACAATATTTTAACATATTATTCACAATATTATACAGGTACGTTCAAAAGAAGTGAAATGACAGGATCACTAATGTACACATTTTGTATACATTACTCTAACATAAAGTTATTATTCTTCTGATTTTATTGCCAACCTATAAGAAACATATGCAAACATTTAGAATTCAAAATGCCATAAGGAAAATCTTTTAAACTACATTAATACTAAGAAAGAGGATTATCACAAACAATGGATTCAGGTAAGAATTTTTAAAATAAATATTTTCTTATTGTTTTTATTTCACCTTAATTGAAGTTTATTAGTATTTAATTTTTTTTTGTTTTAAAATAAAATTGTAGCACATTAAAAATACAAAATATCATTGATATTGCTTACCTGATACGCTTCCTTTTCATTTCTTATTCGAAAGGATATTTTATGCTATTCCGCTCTTTTAGCTTTTCTGATTCAATATACAACATAGGTTTTCATCATTTTTTCTTGGTGTATGTGATTCCAACTTATAAATTTAAATTTAAAATATGGGTCTTTACAGGGAAATGCAGGATGTGGTCTATTTAAAAATGGATATAAAAAAATATTTCCTTTGCTAGTGAATGTTTAATGTTATAATTTTTTTTCCTTGATCAAAATTTCAAAAATGACATTTAAATAATAAGTACGTGTGTTTCAAAAAAAATTTTCTCAAATATTTCCGAGCTACAAAATAAAAAACATACATATGTATGTATGCTTGTATAATATTGACAATTCTTTGCAATTCGATCTTTCGTCGATCTGTCTGTCTGTCTGTGTGTACACGCGTGTTCTCAAGTTCGGCTGAAGCAATTTTCATGAAATTTTATATGTGAGTTTGTTTTGGCTATGTCACAGATTGATCAAATCTTGGGATGAATCAGGCCTTGGTAACTTGACCTTGAAAATTAGCATTTAAATTTGGAGTATTAAAAAAATTATCATATAAATTTTTTGGAACGATCACGGCTCGGAAACCAAACTGGGAGCCGATTTTACGTTTGTTATCGTATCTACGAAACGGATTGATGGAATTTTTTGAAATTTGATATTTGAGCTCCGGCTGTTACCGAAACTAACTGGAGAAATTTTTAGGGAATTCGGATGGCACAAAGCGAAACTCTACTAAGAGCCAATTTTACAGTTTTCTAGGCATGTTAACTAAAAGCTTACTAACTACCTAAAAATTGGAAAAAAGTGTTTTAAAAAGACATTTTTATAATATTCTGTAACACTTTTACTTAACTAAACAATATACATTGCGATCGGTTAAGTACTGACCACATCAGATTTTTTGAACTAATATACATCGACCTGTGAAAACCCGTAACGCATGTAATGAGATAATAAAATTGTACTTTATTATCAAAAGTTGTTTTACATTTTGGTGTAAAATTTAGATTTTTATTAATAATGGAGTTGCGTAAATCTTTGCTTACTTTAAATTATAAATGTATCCTTGCAAAAAAAAATTAAATTTTACGAATCTTACGCAATTTTATTGAGATTTGTATTACAATATAAAAGCTATAAATAATAAGGCTTCTTAAAGATATCCATTTTTTTAAAACACCCTCTAAATTAACTATAATAATTAACCTTAAACCTATATAATAATATCCTGGTTATTGAGAAATTGAGTTGCACACTCGCTTTATTACCATAATTCACACCAATATATTCTTTCTAAAAATTTAAAAGTTTAAAAAAGAAAATAAAGTATTAGTGGTAAACTGTGCCTATAAATCATTTAAAATTTCCCATATAAAATGCAATATGGATATAATACTCGTATATACGTAAAATTTTAAGTGTATAATAGCAATTATTTAAATACACTTATGTATACTATTATTATAAATTACAAGAAAAAAATTGCCTCGAAATAGCGATATTGCTTTTCAATACTTGCAGTAATGGAAATTTTCAACGCGATTAAAATCTTAAACACCAATATATTACAATATGCATTTTAAAAGTACACATTATAAGGTTTTAAGGCACAAAGTATTTTATTGAATATAAGTGAAAATTGAAAGGACGCATGCAATTTTCTAGTTTTTTTTTTATTTTCTACTTAATCATCTAAGATATACACCCATACACATTGTTGGCACCATTAACTTTATATTTATCATATACTATAAGAATTTATCCTTCAATGTTAAATTTTATACCACATTTCCGCTCTAAATATAAGAAATTTGAGTTAGAAAAAATTGTAAGAAAAAGAATTTTCAAAGAATGTTTATTTAAATATATTGAAAAATTTAAAGTTTGTAAGTTGCGGTTAGCACCTACATTATTTACATAAACACATATATACATATTGTAAGTGATAGAAAAAATTAATATTGAAAATCAATGCCTAAATCTTATTTAGTAGAATTTTAAAATTTGAAGAGATTACACGATATACCTACAAAAATTCGAATTAAATTTAAACTTTGATTTTTAAAATTTATTTTTGAATTAAATTAAAAAAAAAAAATAAAAATGACTTTGTACGCAATGGCATGTGATCCTCTTAGACATACTAGCATGTATGAGAGATTAAAAGAGGGTAGGAAATGTCTCTTAAAATTATTGACCTTGAAAACAATCGAATAATATATTGAAATCGCTTAATAATTTGAAATTTTGTTATTTCATAAAATTTTAATTTTTATATTTTGCAGATAGCGAAGATAGTGATGGAGAAGGAGGATTAGGTAATGTAAGCCGTGTAATTATTAGACCACCAGGTCATAGTGGTAAAGCTAAACGTGGTCATCTTTGTTTTGATGCTGCATTTGAAACTGGTAATCTAGGTAAAGCAGAATTAGTTGGAGAATTTGAATATGATATATTCTTAAGGCCAGATACATGTAATCCAAGATATCGATTCTGGTTCAATTTTACTGTCGACAATGTACGACAAGATCAACGTGTCATTTTTAATGTTGTTAATATTAGTAAACCTAGAAATTTGTTTGCTCTCGGTTTAACCCCATTAGTAAAATCATCAAGTAGACCAAAATGGCAACGATTATCACAAAATAATGTCTTCTTCTATAGATCAGCAGTACATCAAAATCACCATGTAATGAGTTTTGCATTTGCATTCGACAAAGAAGATGAAGTTTATCAATTTGCCTTATCGTATCCATATAGCTATTCAAGGCTACAATCATATTTGAAAATAATTGATTCACGAGCAGAAAAGAACTTTGAAAGAACTCAAATTGGGAAAAGTTTGGTAATTTCATTTGCATTTGGTATTGTTTAAATATTAAAAAAAAAAATTTTGTATTTTCTCAGCAAAACCGAAATTTGGAATTATTGACAGTTGATTTTGTCAAAAAACCTATGAAAGTTGATTCAAAAAATCTTATAAGAATGATTGTAATTTTAGCAAGAAGTAATCCAGGTGAAGCTCCTGTATCATACGCTGTTCAGGGTTTTATAGAATTTTTAATTGGTAACCATCCAATAGCAGTGATTTTACGGGAAAATTTTGTATTTAAAATATTACCTATGGTAAATCCAGATGGCGTTTTCTTAGGAAATAATCGCTGTAATTTAATTGGCCAAGATTTAAATCGAACATGGCATATAGCAACAGAATTTTCACACCCAACTTTATATGTTATAAAAGATTTATTAAAGGAATACGATACTTCTGATGTAAAAATTATATTTAAATATTCTGTAAAATGTGCAATTAAATAATATTGTAAAATTTTAATTTCAGTGTTATCAGCTAGATTTCATAGTTGATCTTCATGCTCATACCAGTTTATTAGGTACATTTGTTTATGGTAACACTTACGAAGATGTTTATAGATATGAAAGACATTTAGTATTTCCAAGATTATTTTCAAGCGCAGCTCATGATTATATCGCAACTAATGCGACATTTAATGCAGATGAAAGGAAAGCAGGCTGTATAAGACGATATGCTTGTGAAAATTTAAGTGATACTGTAAATGCATATACTCTTGAAGTTTCTATGTACGGATATTATTTGAAAGATGGGAAAACTATAACACCATATACCGAAGAAGGATGTAAATCATTTTGGTTTCTTTTAAATTTTTAATTTCTTATTATATTTCTATTTTTTTAGATATGCGAATTGGAAGAAACCTTGCAAGAACATTTTTACAATATTATCGTTTCATAAATTATTTAACATTGCCAACTGTTCCTGAATTGAATCCAAATCGTAAACGTCGTCCAAAAACCCATCAATCTCGTAGACGCTCACGGACACGTTATGAAATTCAACAAAGACCAAAAACAACTCGTACATGTGCACCAATTAGTTATACAGATTTATCAATATGTTATGAAAGCGGGGCAACATCAGATGAAGGATCACCGTTACGTGGTGCAAGCTCAAGTTACAAAAGTCATACAAAAAGAATGCATACTCCAAGTCGCGGTGGTACTAGCGCACAACAAGCTGGTGCATATTCAATGCCAGATCAATTTTCTTTAATGACAATCAAACAATCAAAATATGATTATTTTGATTTACACAGTGAACCAATAATGAAACAACGTAAAAAAACGGCTACTATGAGTACAGGATCTGTTAAATTACCACCATTAAATGAAAAAAATTATGGAGATGATGAAATATTAAATATACCACCAAAACCATATTTATCAATAATCGATTTTAATCAATTGACTAGAGGTAGTTTAGAAGAAGCAATGGCTAAAATGCAAACTGATAAAAAGAAAAATCGAAGTAGTAATAATAAGAATGTTAAATCGAAATTATAGAATTAATTCCTTTGATTTTTAAATATTGCAAAAATATGAAATCATTATTAAACAATTAATAAAATCTTTATGTAATTGTAGTTTATAATAATTAAGTAGCGCTAATCTTGCCAAACAATATATTGTTGCTTTATTTAATGTTTTATTCGTTTTCATAATTTTATTTTTATTGTAATTTAGCAAAATTTAATATTTATAATTAAAAAATAATTTAATTTAAGCAATTCTAAAAAAAATTGGTTAAAAATCAAAGTTACAGCATTTTTATGACATTTGAATAAAATTGAATATTTTCAGAGGCAGTTCAGTTGGAATTCAAAAAAAGAGGTCTAAAAAGTCAAAATCATGTTAAAGCCACTACATAATTCTCAAAATTTAGTTTTAAGCAAAAATCCTTATTAATTCAAAATTATTTTGAACTTTTTTGAAATCGAATCTTGATTGCAAACATTTGTTTCGCGAATCAGTTTGCTCTATTTCTTATTTTATACTGTCAATAACACAAAATTCCTTTGAGTTGATTTTGAAACCTCATAAACCTCTTATTACTCTTTAATAAGAGTAGCTTTATTAATATACACAGTTCTACCAAATTGAATTTAAAATTTAATATGTTAAAGAGTTTGAAAACTTTTTTCAACTGAACTGAACTTTCCTAATGTACAATTTAATTTAATTAAAGCATTCAATATACAAAATTTTTAAAAGCAATGTTAAGGAAATGTTGAGGAAAACTATTATAATTAAAAATATACATTTTGGACGACTAAAATCTTCTTTATACATTAAACTATAACTTTTACTTAATAAGTCTACTAAAGTATTATTATTGAATCATTAACCAAAATTTTTAAATTTAAAATAAATAGTATGATATTTTAAAATTTAAAATCGAATTCTAACTAAAAATTTTGCTGTCATTATAACACAAATTTTTATAATATAAAAATTAAAAAATAATAAAGATATATTATTAATTATTATACAATTAGTATAAATTATTGTCTTTCATTCTATTAAAACCTGTTTGAATGTACATTTTCATTGTTGCTACAAAAAAGGTTATGTCCTGAAATTAGAATTTTCAATAATGCCGACAATTTCTTCATATCTGTGTAGAGATCAGATTTCTTCATGTCAGATGGTATAGCGTCAGTCTAAAAAGCGGAGGTTGCTTGTTCGAATTCAATTTGAAGAGAAAAATTTTTTAATTTTTTTTTACTTTGACTTCGTTTCTCAGATTGGCTCTTGAGTTGTATTTAAAAATTTCTATGAAGTACTTATTCTTATAAGAATTTTCAATTTGGAAAATTTCTATTATTGAAAATTTTATTCTATTGTTTTTTTATTTTATTTTAACATTTTCTCCTATTATTAGTTTATTAACTCCAAAAATCCATTATGTTTGCGAAAAATTTCATAAATTCTTCAATCATTTCGAAAATAATTACAAATTATTTGTATGGTTAATTCCTTTGGTTTTCACTACAACCAGTAATTAATTGTAGCAGCGACCTACAGTTTTTATAGTCGACCGCCCTATTAACTAAGCTACACAAAATTTTAAAATAGAGTAATGTAATTTTTCAGTAAGTTAGAGTAAGAATTTTGGCATCATATAGTTCCTAATATATACTATTATACGTAGAGACAAGATCAAACTATATAGCGAAACCCAAACTTGATAAAAAATTTCTTTTAAAGATATAATAGGAAAAGAAAAATTTATGAAAATCTTCCGGTTAAATTATTTATGGATATTCAAGTTTTTAGTAAATTTGTAAAATTTGTAATTATATTAATTAAATGACTTTGAAATTAATTCTATAGATAAGTGAGATTATTCTTTTTTCTTGAGAAACAACTTTTTCTTCCCGAACATCGATTTATAAGATTTAAATCTTTTGCTATAATCTGGACATGCAGAGTTTACAATAAATTCATTTAAATTTGATTTTCGTTACAAGTATTTGATTTACAACTTAACGTTTATAAGGAGGACAGCATTACACAATAATATTAATTTACGATTAATAACAACAAAAAAAACGAACGTATACATTCAAAAAATACTAATAGGAGTGTTTGATCTTATAAATGGCGGAAAACACGTTTATTGGCACGGGAAAAAATTTTCGTGCATTCAAACGCAGTGCTTTATTTTGTAGAGAATATGACTAAAAGCAATTTTGAAAAATGTAGTTTTATTGAAGTACCCAAAAGTTTAACCGTACAACGCATGTATTCCCTTATATTTTTTATATACTTTTATGCCTAATGATTAATTTTCTTTAGTGAAAATTAATTAAAAAAAAAATAATTTATTCCAAAAAAACGTAAAATTTTAAAATCCGAAAAAAAATTTATTTGTGTGAATGTAAATTATAAAATCAAGTTACAACTTTACAATACGCGCCTTTTTTCTTTTGATTTTTTTTTTTACTAAATTAAGACTATAAAAATGATTAATTTAAATAAAATCATTAATAAAAAAAAATACAGAATAACAGAAATTTTGCATCCAAAATAAATATTAAACCATGCACGTTTTTTAAATAAATTCAAAAGTATATCAGCTCATGACCGAATTCCTAATGATTTCCGGTAAAATAGAAATAAAAAAACAAACTTCCAAAAATTTTATTTCATAAAAATTAACAAATTAATTTACCATTAAACATTAACATAGCATTTTAACCAAATCCAATATTATTAATCTTTAAATAATATGGTGAATCTTCTTTCTCATCTCAAAAACTTTATAATATTATCACTTATAATTAACAGATCATTGCCTGTTATTCGTAATTAAATTTACATGTCTACGATAAAACATACAAACGTTTGTTTTTATTTCTTTTTTCTTTTTACTCAAACGTAAGAGATTCCAAATTAATTAAATATCTGAATTTTTAATTAATAAAGTTAAAAAGAGATAGAAATATGTGAACTAGAAGTATAATCACAATGTTATGACTATTTCAAATACATATTAAATTAAATTTATTCATGAGACTTTTAAACATACATTTTCGGAGTAATTTATAACGTTTATGCTTATTTTTTGTCATTTTTGCGAAGGTTAATTTTTGTCATTCAATTTCAGCTTCCACATAAAACTTTGATTTTAGTATAAATATTGATGTAATATTTTGAATCTACATCAAATTACGTCTTCAATTCATCGAAGCAAATTCGAAGTAATCCAAAAAAACACTTCTAATATCCAAAATGGTAAAATATTAAATAATGGAAATATTATATTTTGAAATCAACACAACAATGGGATTAATTTTTTTTATTAAATCAACTTTATTTTACAGAAATTCTTCTTATTTACTTTGGCCTGTTTAGCTGTTGTAACAGCTGATGTTTCACATTTAGGTGGAGGTGGCGGTGGATACAATTATCCAGCTCCAGCACATCATCATCATGAAGAAGCTGCTGCACCACCACCAGCACCAGCACCAGAATATTTACCACCTGCTCATCATCATCATGAAGAAGCTGCTCCACCACCACCAGCTCCAGCACCAGCTCCAGCTCCACCACCACCACCACCACCAGCACCAGAACCAGAATATTTACCACCCCAAGCTGAAGAAATCGCACCAATTGCTGCCCCAGCACCAGCACCTGCACCAGCACCAGCACCAGAACCTGAACCAGCTCATGAATTAGGAAATGATGGTTACCGTTACAGAACTATTAAACGTTACAGATATAGATACAGATACTAAAGACTGCGCTAAAAACAAAAACTGTTGAAAATCAAAATGAAAAACAAAATAATTTGTTTGTTAAAATGATGATACCAAAAATTAATGTTAAAATCTATAAAATGCAAAACAAAAAAACAACAAAAATCAAAAAAAAAATATAAATAATCATTCAAAAAAATAATAAATTATTTAAAAAAAAAACAAAATATCAAAATATTTTCATTTTAAAAAAATATTAATAAGAGATTATTGGAAATCAAATTTAGCCATGACCAAAACACAATATAAACGTAATCACTCGATTAGAATAAAGTTTAAAGCAAAAAATATTTTTGAGATGGTTATGATTAAATTTTTAAATGATTGTTCAATGAGGAAAAAATAGTTCTAATCATAATCAAACTCAATATCAAACTCTAATAATAATCAAATAAAAAAATTCTTTGAATAATGAAAATGTCACTCAAAATGTCAGACATTTATGATTTCTATTCGTTGAAAGGCAGAACTGAATGAAGTTATCAACTACAAATAAGTGTGTAACACTTTTACGAGTATTTGTGTAAAAATCCCAATTTTCGTAAAAATTGCAGTTAATATTTTCATTCATTCGTATCTTATTTCTTAATTATAACTAATCAAGATTTAGATATTTACGGTTTCTTCATCGTTGGTACTATTCAAGAATTAATTCTTGATTTCGATCAAATTTGTAGATTAAACATTTGTAGATTGTCAGTTTTTATTTAAGAAACCAATTGGAACTAATGGAAGAAAAATAACGTTTAACATGCCGCTAAGTGTTCTAAATGCAATCGTTGTAATAATATTGTAAATAATACTTTTAACTAATTTTCAGTTTAGCAATTACTGCTGAAACGTAAAATCGCTGGGAGCATATCTAAGTTAGTAAACTATTACGACAACTCAAAATCTATTACGTTAACTAAAAAGTTTATTGCAAACTGGTTGATTGCTTAATTGCACGCTATCACACAGTTCCATGTGTGCGCGCTTGAATATTAATCTACAGAATACACATAAGCAATTAAACAGTTGCAGAACTAAAAATTGCATGTATAAGCCGTAAACTTTTTATACTGAAATTCTTTGTATCAAAATAAATATCATTTTTGTTCGGAATGGATCTAATAGCATCGAAATAAGTGTAAAAAAAGCTACAATTTTGACATTGTAGAACTAAATGAATTTATTGAAATTTAAAATACGTTTAATATATAAAACAGCAGACTCATAATTTATAACTTGTTATTGATTATATTTTGACAACAACAAACATTAATCACTGCATAAATTTTGCATCGATTTCACATTAATCACTGTCAAAAAAAATTAACTTTTGTGTTAGCAATCAATAAATTGTTAACCAATCGAGAATTATGATTTCCATGCAATCCAATATAAAACATAAATCACAAACATTGTGATTCCATTAGGAAAATTGAATACGAATGTTTTAATGTTGAACATTTCAAACGCAATACTTATTATGCTATGAACGTAATTTATTTAATATAAAAGACCTTTTCAATATCCCTGAAATCAAGAATATTGCTGTAAAATAAGAAAGATTTACAGAAAAACATCTTTCAAGAAAGCTTTTTGTTATTAAAATATTTTTTTGATGATCATCAGATCACACAATTTTACATGATTTTCTAATATCATCTGTTTTCATAACGTCATTTTATTATTAAATAATATGTATGTATGTATATAAATTCAAATTTATTCGAATAGCCGCATAAAATTAACAAGAGAAAAAAAAGCGGTAAAAAATAATTTTTAAATTAAAATTATATTTTCACGGACGCGAAAATTTAAATATTATCAAAAACGGTTTAAGTTATTTTTGGTGTGCTTGGAATTATATACAAATACATACACACATCCATATATACATAGGTACATGTATACACACATGTTAATTAATAAAAATATTTTCTCAAGACGTATGATTTTATTTTTTATCTGTAACGGAATCTCACAACACCAAATCGTGTGATTTCTAAGAATGCATTTGAATTACAATCATTGTTGTTGCCTTAATTTTAATGAATATTAAATAAAATTCAAATTTTGAAAATATTCAAAATAAAGATCAACACAAATCTTTTAATACAAAGGGTGAATCTACATATACCTACATGCATACTTATAAAAATAAGACTTTTTTTTAAATGCGAAGAAAAAATTTGTACCAAAGCTCATAAAATTTCACCTGACGGAAATCAATCAACAAGTTAAAGCAATAAAAAAATTCGTAAATAAAGTAAGAATTTGTCATCGGATTTATTCGGAAATTCAATACACGAAGTGAGGTATGTAGGTTTCATTTTATAAATTTTACTTTTCATACAATATACACTGCTTTTCACAAATAAAACACAATATAGAAATTTTGAAAAGACAGTGAAAACTTCCATAAAAAGAGCTCGCTAAATTCGTTAGAATTTATTCATATTGCAAAAAATTTGGTGTTAAAGAAACTAAAATGCGCACATGCAAATTTTATTCTACGAACAAAAGTGAAAAATTTCGTTTTATAGTAATTTTCGTGTTTAAGGTAACTCGTCTTATGCAACTATAATTTCACCTCGATTCAAAATTTTAAGCTTTTCAATTAAAATTGTAACATAACTTGCGGGGCAAAATGCGATAGATTTTCTAATGTTGTGAAATCGGAGTCAAAATCAAAGTCAGAAAAATATAAAATTTTATTTTTAAAGCAAAAATTTTGAGATTTTTATAACACCTGCAAATTGAAATCGGAATCGAATGAAATTAGAATATCAAAAAATAAAAGGAGATTAGTTCCAAGCTGAAGTCTGAATCAAACTCGAAGCTGAAATCGATGTCGGAATCGAAATTATAGAAACAGTTAGAGTTTGGGGAATTAAGAGTCGGTCATAATTAAGATCGAATTCGAAACAGAAGTCGAAATCAGTTTCGAAACCAAAGTCAGAGTTCTTATCGCATTCCAAGCCAAAATCAAAATCTGAGTATGAGAGTAAAATTCAGTACCGAAATCGTAGTCAAAGTAATACTAATTCGGAATCGGAGTTGCAAAAGAAGACAAAAATGTTGCAAACATGATTTTATTAACTCAAATCCTAAATTAAGTCTTGCAAGATTTCTCTGAAATTTTTAAAATTCTGCGTTGATCTTTTCAGTTCAGTTAAACATTATAGAATACTAAATAATATAGCAGGATTAGCTTCTAAATTTTAAGAACTATAAAATTATGTAATTAGATCTCATGAAAACTTGCTTATAAGATTTTTAGAGGTTAGTATTTAAATTATTTTTATTATTATTATTAAAAAATCGAAATCATACATGACTATATTCTTTGCAGCAGTAGTGTAAGGGTAATATGTAAGTAACATATGTATGTGCTCATTTATGTATAGCTATAGTAGATAATTGTAATTGAAACATTTATTATTATTGTTATTGTTTTAAAATTTAACAATAATCTTACATTTATTTTAAATAACAAATTTTTTAACCAAAAACACATTCATAAACCATACTACAAAGATTTTGTGCTTGTATTTACATAGTAATAACTTTAATAAGTACACATGTACAGAATTTATTATTGTTATAAAAATTATTGTAAAATTGTCCTGAATTCGTGCTGAGAAGATTTTAATATTAAAGTGCTATAAAAAAAAAGAAAACAGCGAAACTCAAATAAAAGTAAAAAAAAATCTTTTACGCTGGTAGTAAAATCACTCTGTTGGAAACATTCGTACACTATAAGACAATTCAATTATTTTTATGAGGATTACATAAAATGTTTAACCATACAAATACAGTTATACTTGCTATATCAAATGGATAAATTTTTACATAAGCAAAACAAAACTCTCTCCTTTACTATACATCCGTCTTGTTAACGTTCTATTTTAGTGACAAACTTAAATTTCAAATAAATAAAAATTTCAAACTTATTTTTATCCTAAAAAAATTTATTTAGATTTGAAAACATTTCCAAATATAAAAATTTAAATTTAAGTTTAACAACTTTCAAACCACCCTATTTACGTTACGATTTCCAATAGATGAATTTTAAGACTATACTCGTATCCATCAAAACTTTATATTCAAATTAGATTATTAGTGTTTAACACAGAATGATAATTTGACAAGAACATGTTAGGGAAATTCTTTCGTCCACTTCTTCGGCAATATAAGAATCCTGGTTAATATAAGAATCAAAATACTTATAAGTAAAATCAAAATTAACAGCGACTTGGCAATGCAATGGTATTTTCTCTGATAGATGATATTATTTTATCTTTTCCTTCGCTAATTCGCATATTAATAATTCTCGCTCTTAAATACTTTAAAAATAAAACTTGAAAATATATAATGTACTAAATTTTTAAACTTTGAACAATCATGCAAATCTAAAAAAATTTTACATTACCCTTCTCTAACACAAAATTTTAAATAAAACAATTCAATATACACACAAACATAAGATTTATTAGATTTTATTTTCCATGAAAAACAAATATTTTAAATCTATAAAAACATTAACAATTTTAAATTTTATTATTTTCACAATAAATTTCATTGAAGATTTAAATGTCATTTAAAAATTAAAGGACAAAATTCTAATTTTATTACAAGTTTTTGTGATTTATAAATTTGAGAAATAACTTGAAATAACCTATTCTTTATTCCTTATATTATTTGTATTTATTTATAGGGAAATAAGCAGGATTTAGTTCTTCAAAAGTAGAACATTTTTGTTTTATATTTCTAGTTTAGAAATTCCATTTAACTGTGGTATATACAAATACATAAATTGTTATTCGAATAAAATCTAATAAAAATTTGGTATTGAAGTTTCAATAACAATTTGTTATAAATTTCAGAATTGATGGGTTTATTCAAGCACTTAACTGTTTCTTTTAACGAAAGAAACGCAAAGAAATTTTAGTTGATAAAATAAACGAGTTCAAAATAAAAAAAAAATGTGA